GTATGAAAAGCTAGGCACTAACATTTAGACCAAAATCATACGTTAAAGACCCGTGCTCTATTCAGAGCAATAAAGTTGGAAATAATGACTAAGAAATCAAAAACACCTGGAATAAAAGAAAATCACATCGTAAGTGAAAAAATATAAAAAAGTTAATATGGTATCATGTACTAGGATATCACATCAAGTCTTCTGGCAATTTAAAGAAGAAAATAAATGACAGAGAACATTACCAAGTTCAGTGAAACCAGGCTCTATTTTTGCTTCATCCAGCAGCATTTTGACAACTTCTTTCTGGTTCATATATAATTGTAAACATCGTTCTATAAGATTTTGCACCTAGAATGAGGCAATTAAACAAATCTTACGGTTAGAGCTTTTCCACGCAAGAAGATATTAGAATATCATGCTCACGAAAATCACATGAAGACACTTGCATATTCATACATAAATAAATGCCAAAATTTAAATGCCAAAGCCCTCTAGGCTAGTGTGCACATTGCATTGGGGTCAGAAATTTCTGTAGCCATCTATATGCACAAATTAAAACCAATATACATTTAGAAATCCCTTCCCAAACACATGCGTGCAGACATTGCACGGGGGGTGGACATTTTCTGTAGTTTGCCATACTTTGGAAATAGGAGGTTTTTTTCCAATCAATAGCACCAGGAACTAATATATCAGGCAAAGAATGGCACTGTTAAGAGGCAGAATGGCCACTAATGTGAAAATTCAACAGATTATAACTGATAGCTAACTGATTCCACTACAAGTATAAGTGCTTCCATTACACAGGCAATTCTTTATTAAAGAAGCGCATAGTGAAAACTACGAGAGCACCCAACATCTTGTCAAACAACCTTTGGGCAGCAATTTTTTACGCCATCATCTCTTAAGCAATCGGTGTCCACAAACAATAGCTAACCTGCATATTACTTGTCACATATTTGAGGTTATTTGGATGTTAGGTGGCAAAAATACTTTATTTCAGGTTTATAAGAAAATTATAGACTATGTTGTGGAATGGATTGTTTACGATATACACCAGCCATCTATTACAGTTAAGCTCACGATTACTTCTTACCAGTTGTATATCCTCCCGGGAAACCCGTCTCTCAGATCCACTTGACATATCTTAAGTTCCCAAATTTGCTGTTAATAAGTAGTGTAGTGAAGTTCTAGAGTTTTGTAAGGTAAAGCTCCAGTCGTACTTTGAGGTCAACGAACAAGCCCTATACCAACCACCTGAAGGCATAATAAAAGTAAAGAAAGGAATTCAAACTATATAAACTTTGCCTGTGATCTTTTAAAATCAAGAAATCGAGCTCATAATTTACTTCAAGAAAACAAATGCCGAAAGTAAATGACATGCATAGTTTATAACGGATATAAGGGAGGGCAGAAAAGGGCAAAAACCAGTAGTTGAATATAACTTTCTGCCTGTTAACTATTTGGAGTAGCTTCATACGCATACAAAGCTGAGTCTTTACAGAATAGCTCGGATCAAAGGGATGGATTTCTCCTTCCCCGTGACCATGCTATGTCAGTGAAATAACAGAAAACGATGCAAAATTCAATCGAGCTCATAAGGTTATAAATCCCGTGATCATAAAATCAACGAGAGAAGCTCCAAGAATCTCAAAAGAAAATTAATTAAACCATGGATGCGTGCATGTCGTTGAAGATTTCCAAATAAAATTCTGAGATACCCGGGGGCCGGGGGAGTATAAGGCCGAATACTGCACATTTACCTGAAAGGAATTCGATTCCTAAAACTTTTCCAGTAATCCTAAAATATAGGACTCAGCCTCATAATTTGCTTAAAAGAACCATATGCCGAAAGTAAATAACATGCAGGGTTATAAAAGGATGCAAGAAAACAGGAAAAACAAAAATGAAAAGGGCGACGACAGCCCCAAACAAGCTTAACAGAACTTTCTGCGTACAAGCGGTCTGGAGTTGCTTCATGCGCACACAACATTTGATCCTAAGTGCGTGTGACAAATGAAAGAGACAGATTTCCCCACTCCCACAAGCAAGCTATGTCAGAGAAACAACAGACAAGGATGCAAAATCTAATTCAGTCGTGCCCGACACGTCCCGAATCATATGATCACAAAATCAATAAGAGAGACCACAAGAATCTCAAAAACGAAATAAACCACACCATGCATGCGAGTAACCAGAGATTTGGAAATGAAATTCTCGAGAGGCCAAGAAAAAAGAAGAGTTCAGGGATAAACCCTAGGTAATTTACCTGAATTGGATCGGAATCGGAGAACCTTTGAGCGGGGAAAGGTGTGTGTGTATTGGGAGAAAAAAGGAGGAGGTGACGAAGCTAATACCCTTGATGCATCAACTCTATGATCAGCATCATCATTATTATTTTAATTATTTATATACCTTCTTCTTTTTGGAGATGAGGGGCCACAGGTGTTAGAATTTCGGACTTACAGACAGTCCATTGGGCCAAGGGCTTATACAGCATCCCAGAACGCAACACGTGGCAAGAGCGGGATGCACGTGGGGCTCAGGTGACTCGGACTCTCTCCCCTCCTCATCTCCAGACTCCCACTCCAACATGAATTTATCACGTACAGTTATAAAATGAAAAATTGATTTTAAAAAAAATCATAAAGCCAAATGATAAACTTAATTGTTAAGAAAAGGGAACTTCTTATGAATAAAATCAGCACATGGCTTGGTTTAGATGAGAAGAAATAAATGGAGAAATAGTATACTTGGGGAAAAGCCTAAATTTTCACTATTTTTTAGATTTGCTCTTCTTTCTTTCTAATTTTTCCCCATCTAAATTAAGAAGTAAATTGGCAAACTTGATCGTGAATAGAAAATTGACCGTAATAATTGGCTTTTTACCTGTAATGACATTTTTATTATTTTTGCTTGGCTAGATTAATTTTTTATTTCAATTTTAATGTATAAAATAAAATTTTTTATATCTATTAAACAAATTATTCATGCTTGGATGTGAAAGTAACAATTTTCCCAAAATAGTAAAAGAAAATTAAGATGATGAACATCGGGTGAAGAGCATGCAAAATCGTCAAAGGGGACAAAAGTTGATGGGCCTAAAACCAAGGATTCGGAAGACCTGCCCATGTGAATGAGTGTAATAGCCCGTAGTTTGTCCATTCCACTTCAAGTCAAGTCAGTCACCCTTGTTTTTGTCTTTGCCACGAGTAACAGAGGTCATTCTATTTTCCCCTCCCCTCGGCCATACATCCAATTTAGTATTTATCGGTCGGCCAAAAAAAAAAAAGCATTTATCGAGCAAACTTCGCATGGTGTTCTATTGACAGAAGTAGACTAAATTTTTAGCTTGCTCCTTTATCTCGTTCTTCAGTTTTGAACGAAAAGTATATATCCTTGATTTTTAATGTAAAACTCAATTTAAGAATTGATATTGATCCTGTATATAATAAAACCTATTTCACATATTATTTTTTTGTTCCAAATAATCTTAATCATGTATGAAAAGGAGAAGGAGGGGAATTAAAAGGTTGGTTAGGATGTTTTAGAAAAAACATACTACCTCCGATCCTAATGTCGGAGTTTATTTGATTTTAAATATAAGACCCTAATTTATTTTGTCTCTCATATTTATATTTTTTTCTAATTAGTTCTAGCCAATATACTTAATTAGCAAATATATTTTAAGAAATATAATACCAATTCATTATGAATAACTAATCAACTTAAATTAATAACTAATTTTTATATCAAAACAAGAGGGGGTATTAGATTAATTGATTTAACTAACATCTTTAATCTACTGAAATTAATTAATTATATTTTATATTAAAGATAGGAAGAATAGTATATTAGATCATGCGGTAAGCATAAGAGAACTCTTTTCTTTTTTTGAGTTAAATTATTATCAAACGACCATTCCGTAAAAATTACAAACTGTTAAGTGTGATCGTTACGTTCGTCTACATGTGAGTTGTTTAAAGATCAGCCCCTTGCGAGAATTAAAATTTCTCTCTCGTATGAATTTAAACTCATGCTATCATTTACATTCGTATCATTCTTATTATTTGAAAAAAAGTAAATTATTGTTTAGACTAAAAGTTTTTATACCAAAAATCATATCTTGGATAAGTGGAAAAGTATTTTTCAAAAATATTTTTTCACAAATCGAGATAAACTTCTTCATATTTATTTCGTATATCGTAAAAACATTTTGAAAATCATATTTTTCTTTCACCCTGCACCCATTCTTTAACTCGTTTTGGGCAAGAGTACCATTGTCATTTTCGCAAGTTTGTGCCAGGATATATCGCTGGTTATATGCGATACACAGTCTTTGATCACCAATTTCCCCCAAATCTGATGACTTGTTTTCAGTTATACGAAATTAGCCAAGAATTTAACGTAATGCAATATTATGAAGAGAATAAGAATATACGAGCCAGAAAAAGTTTGTTTTCTTATGAGTTATGCTTCTTCCCCCAACACACGTCAGGAGTTAAGAAAACAGAATTAACTAACTAAGAGGAAAAACTTCATGGAGGACAGCTCTGTTACCAATTTCAACGGAGCCATTTAACAAGAGAAGACTGAAACAAATCTCAGAATTAAAGGATTACGCGGAATAAAAATGAACTAGGGTACTTGGGCCACCAAAAAAAAATACTCGGGGATTCGATCGAACAAACTCCGAAAATAAGGGAACAAATTTTCGCCTTTTTTTAAATAAACTTTTAGCCGAAGTAGGCCCCCAAAAAAAATTCCAAAAGAAATCCCTTGAGCGCTTTGAAAAATGACAACACATGTTCAACAAAAAGAATACGTAATTACCAATTTACCCGCACAACATTTATATATTACCAGGGTTGTTTTAAGGTTCATCTTCAGGAGACATAGATCTGGGAAGAGTAGAAGGGGGAGGGGTGAAGAACGGGAATAAGAATGTCTGATCCGATTCTCCAAGAATACATTCATCGACAACCGAAATAATCAGCTGAATTTCTCTACTTTTTTGTTGGTATATTTGAGGAAACAAAATTGGAAGCGGATTTTCCAGGAGATTGTACAGGAGGCAACTCTCTCTACAGTCGTATAAAGCCTCTATTATCCAACACTGGAGTTAAGACTTTAAAAGGATTTTAAAAAACAGAAAAAAAAAAAAGGGTCATATGAGAATTACATATTGTAATTTCAGAAATATACTTCACATGATTGATCACACAACTGTGGCTATGTCACTGTATCTTGGTCTCGTTCTGTCAGTCTCAGGTGAAAGCCCCTGTTGTTCTATGGCCTTTCTCTTGTTACTACCGGCTGCTTGTGGTGATTGTGGTTGTTGTTGATCTAGTTGTGGCTGTGGTGTAGGTTGCTGCACAGCAATTTGATTTTCTTCTGGTCTAACTAGTGGGGTTTCAGGATTTTCTTGCGTCTCAGGCTTTTGTTCTTTCAACCTTGTCTTCATCAAATGGGGTCGAAGCTTGTTCAAATCCGACAGCCTCACTGGCTTGAGAAAAAACTCCTCTGCTCCTTCCTCCAAGCATCTGTTGCCATTTCACATGCATATTCATACGTAAGCATTCCACCTCGGAAAATGTTTTAAGGGAGGGTGCTACGGATACTCAAAATGTCTCCCCTGTTACCTGCTAATTCTTGAAGGCACATTCTCCGACGACATAATCACCACCGGTATGTTTCTCAAAGACGAAGATTCCTGAAAAATCAAAGGGCGTCCTGTTAATTATAAGTCTGCGGGAGCCTGAATTAACAGGCGAGCACAGTGTTTCCCAGAGACGACCGAATGAATTCTTCTCTGATCTTAGCCATTAAAGGGTGCCTTTTAAAGAATGGAATACTTTGATTATAACTACCCAGCTTTGCTTCTCATAAAACAGTTTCGAAAACGATGAGGAGAATATTGCGGGGGGTTCTTTTATCCTTTTCAGTT